CCGGTGGAATCATGGATCTCCTGGAAGGGAACTGTTGACTAGTGATACACGGCAGCAGCTTTGAAGCATGAAACACAGGGTATGTGTGGAGGTATGCTGGAATCTCAATGCTATAGGACGGTCCATCCTCTCCGCCCTTGACTTCTAGAACCGGCCACGGTCCTCTATATGCAGGCAGTAACTTCTGCGATATATTTTCTTCCGGTGCAAACTCTTTTGCCTTGACCCAGACTAAGTCGCCTACTTGAAACTGTGATGGGCAACGGTGTTTGTTAGCCTGCTCTATCATTATGTGTTGGGCCTTCCGTAGGTTCTCAACAACAGTGACTAATTCCTTTTCATGCTGTATCGCAAACTCCCTGGTACCGGGTGGTAATCTGTGAATCTGATCCCGGTTCAGTCCTTCGAACGGTCTGCGCGGTCTGAAGGACTTGTGCAACTCATTGGGGGTGCAGCAGGTGGATAGATGCACGCTGTTGTTGTATGCACTAGCTACCTTAGGCAACATCTCATCCCAGTTAATCTGATCTGGTCTAATGTACATGCGCAGAACTTGTTGTAGGATCTTGTTCATCTGTTCTGTCTGACCGTTAGTCTCTGGGTGATGGTCGGACGACATTAACAACTTAGATCCGTARACTCTCATTAGTTCTTGCCAGTTCTGGCTGGTGAAACGACTGTCCCTATCACTAACTATTGACAATTGGATTCCATTCTCACTAACCCAAAAGTCAAAGAACTTCTGTATTACTAAATCTGTACGAGCCTCTGCAAGCAAGGGAACAAAAACTGCATACTTACTAAAACGGTCGACTATGACCATGACTTGGCTCTTACCATATCTGCTCTTGACTTGCGTGTCCATGAAGTCTATGGATACCGAGTCTCCCAGCTGATCCGGAATAGGCAAGGGTCTGAGAAGACCTAGGGGCGCGCGTGTAGTAGATTTATTCCTCTGGCACACTTTACAACCGCGGACATACTCTATGCAGTCGTTCTTCATCCCTGACCATGTGTACGCACGCATCAGATTGGCTAACGTCTTTTGCCAACCGAAGTGTCCCTCAGTATCGTGACATTCCCCTAGAATTAGACTACGAATCTCCTCGTTGTTGGGAACGCACAGGCGGTCAAACACATTAGTCTTCTCAAATAGCAACCCATCTGTAGTGCGGTAATCTGGTTCGGTCTCTGGGGTCTCTCTAACTCTCTTTGGGAGGTCGTAATAGATAGGGTCCTGCGTATACGCTTGTTTCACTTTCTCCTGCAGGTCTCTCCTCATATCCAGATAATGTACTACGGCTCCAAAGTAGTACAATCTCCTACTTAGAGCATCCGCCACTACATTGTACTTGCCCTTCACTGGCTTGAGCTCAAAGTCGAATTGGTCTATCTCTGCGGCCCACCTAGTCAACTTAGGTGTCATCTTGGCCTGGGTCTTTAGCCAACGAAGTGTCTCATGGTCAGAATACACTTTGAAGTGCCTCCCAAGCAGATAGTGCTTCCAATGGTCTAAAGCCTGCCTGAGAGCGTAGAGTTCTCTCTCGTACG